AAAAAAAAAAAAAAAGACAAGACAACACTCTACCAAAGGTGAGATTCTATCTCAAAAAAAAATTTTTTTTAATGAATAAAAAATAAGCTCCATAAACATACCTCCCACTTGTGTCTACAACCTCCAGCAGCAAAACACAGACTCTGGACAGACACCTAGTTAGGTCATTCCGTCCAGTCCCTTGGCCAGGGCCAGACTATACCAAAGTCACTACAAGCAGACTGTAGTCTCCTGGGAAGTCTTAAGATCTTCCAAGAGACAGTCAAAAACTAGTATCTCAGTTTGGCTCGTTCCACTCAAACCACAAGCTTCCTTTGGCAATGGCAGCTGCTCCTTCTCACAAACCTGCAAGGAGAGGGAAGATGAATGGTGGTGAAGTAAGCTTACCTTAATGATCTCCTCATGTCCATCATTGGACTCCACCAGTTCTGAGGCCAGAGAATGACCGGTTGAGCGACTGGACACCATGGCATAGGTCTTCTTGCCCGCCTACCAGAGAAACACAGGGAGAGATGGCTCAGAAGCCACATGACCAACCCAGAACTCCAGCCCTCAACCTATGCAGAAGGCCTGCTTCTCAAAAGACGTTAAAAGTTAGTCTGGTTTTCCCTCCAAAAAATTCATTACAGAACCTCCAACAAAAGCCACACAGCAGCACAAACACTGGACAAGGAAAATTAGTACAGACCACAAGTTAGTTTCAATTTTAGTGGGGTTTCCCCACCCCCAAAGCAGTGCACAGTGCTGAGGTCAGCCGCATGTGCCCACAGGAGATGCTCCCAAGCTCCAGTAGCAGGCGGTTCCAGGCAGCAAGACAGGAGAACTGGAGCACTGAGGCACTGAGAACTGAGTGCCCCATCAGAAACCTCAGTACCTTCTGGGCTATGTGTTCAAGTTCATCTCCTGTCAGTTCACTCTGGAGAGTCAGCCTGAAAATGTCCACGCTGCCCTAATAACGATAATGACAGCAACAAAAAGCCTTTACCTTTACAGTGTACAAGCACAGGTATGCTTCTGCTGACCTGTGGAGTGGGTTGTACCATCACTACTTCAGACAAGAAAAACTGAGGTCCACAGAGATGTCCCTGGCCTTGGGAGATCCCTGGGGCCACCTGACAGTCCTCTTTTCACCCCACCAGAGATCACACAACTCACTGCTCCTTATAGCTGCAACTGGGTCACCCTGGTTCTCAAGTTACAGGGAGCACACGAACACCTCTTCCCAGCAACTGTGGGGAGATCACCCCAGACTGGTCATCCCAATCCAGAATTTCTGTTCCTGATAACCACCCAAGAAATTATTTATTTATTTATTTATTTATTGAGACAGAGTCCCACTTTGTCACGGCTGGTATCAGGGTACCGTAGTATCACAGCTCACAGCAACCTCAAACTCTTTTTTTTTTTTTTTTTT